ACCTGGAAATTTATACAAATGAAATTCAATCTTGAGGATTTTCAAGTTCCATTTTAAAAAAAAAAGAAGAAGAAAAAGAAATACCCACTGGACTATTTAGAGGTCAGTGATTAACATATACACATACTTAGAGGAGAGAACGAATATGCCAGAATGTTAACAGTTGGTACATATGGCTGAATGGTATAGGAAGTTTTTGTTTTACTGCTCATCGCTTTTCTTTAAGGTTAATTATTAAAAATATATATTTTAAGGGATAGAGAGAGTACAGGAGTTAAGACACTTCTCTTGCATGTGGCTGACCTGGGTTCCATCCCCAACATTGCCAGGAATGATCCCTGGACACAGAGCCAGAAGTAAGCTCTGAGTTCTGGATGTTGCTCTCCCACTCCCAACCCTCACACACACACACACACACACACACACACACACATACACACACACACACACACACTTTAAAAAAATTGAGGTGTATGTTTTTCAGATACTTGAAACACATTTCCAATTTTCTTTCCTACTCATAGGGATCTACTATGCAAACATTTATATAAAAATCTCAAACTTGCCTGGGCTGGAGAGATAATACAGCAGGTAAGGTGCTTGCCTGTGGCCTGAAAACAAACAAAATCTCAAACTTGGTACTGAGGAGACAGCCCTGGGCTTGTAGTATAAGCTCTGCTTGTGAAGGGTTCCATTTTGATCCCCATCACTGCATGCCCCCCACTGAGCACTGCTGAATGTGGTCCTAGTGACCTCCGGGTGCCACCTGTCATCCTGGGGTCTGAGCAGCTCTTTATTTTTGTGTCCTAACACTATGTGATCTTCTGGCCCATTTTGGCCAAGTGTCACTGTGAGTAGTCCCCAGGGGCATTGAGCACTGGATGGTGAGACACTCTCTCCCTAAGAACCAAACATTACTGGGGAAATGGTGTGCAGAGATGGAGAGACATAATGCTCATAAAGGAAAGGAGGTAACTGGAGTTTCAGTGTTAGAGACATTGAAATGGAAATGCTATTAGTCTGCCTGTGCCAACCAAGTCTCTACCAACTAATTGGCCATGGTCTGAGGTTTTTCCCACTTCCCTTGTCCCAGAGGAAAAGGGAAGCACTTTAATAGGAGTAATGTGGTCATTATTTCATGTAAATTCTATCACTGGTAACTGAACAAATAGAGAGATCACGAAAGGTAGCTGTCACTGTCCTCCCTTTGTTCATCGATTTGCTCGAGCGGGCCCAGGAACGTCTCCATTGTGACAATTGTTACTGTGTTTGGCATATTGCGGGTAGCTTTCCAGGCTCTGCCTTGCAGGCGAGATACCCTCGGTAACTTGCCGGGCTCTACAAGAGGGGCAGAGGAATCGAACTCTGGTCGGCCATGTTGGCTGCTTGCAAAGCAAATGCTCTACCTGCTGTGCTATTGCTCCAGCCTTACAAAAGGTAGCAGTAAAGACATATGTCTGTGTTGTGTGTCAGTCCTTCCCCTCTTAAAAGACCAAACTGTACAGAAGTGTGGGATCTTTTATATAGGCAGATCTATAAAGATAACCCAGGTTACTTTTCTTCCTTAAACACATTGCACTGGACTACTCTGTGGTTAAATTTCTTTAATATCCAGAATAATACTAACATGACACAGAAAAATCCAGATCCCCACAACTTTTGCTTCTATTCCAGTATTTACAGTAGACAAGTGGCCATTCCAAACCAGGGATTTGGCACAGATTTCACAGTTATAAAGAGAGAACGGATGAACTCTCAAGCAGAGAAGAGGTCATAAATATTGACAAAAATGCGTTGTTTAACCATAGATTGTACTGACAACAGATTCTCTAGCAAGCCATTAAATTCACAACCAAGGAGAAACAAACCACAATGTTGGCAACAGAACAGCATCCAAAAGGTAAGTAGTCAAAGCTGTACATAGTTCATTGACAAAGCTTGGGGGCCACAGGGGCATAGAAAGCTTAAGAAACAAAGTCAGTCCACACCCCACCTACCCACCCACCAGGTCCCTGTAGTTTACAGTTGGATCAGTTCATAGAGACCTACCAAGGCCTAGATTCTTCTGCTAGTTTGTGTCAATTTTTGAGGGTCTGTGTGACGGGGGATAGCATTTTATAGGTAGTCTGCAGAACTGACTGCCTCCCCAAACCAATGATCAGAAGAAAGCTTTGGCCTCTTAACTTCACAAAAGCTGAACTATTAATAATAATAATGATGATAATGTAGTTAAAGCTAAGGCAATTGTGGCAAATGTGAAATGTGCGTCCCAGCAGAGTTCCCTTTCTACTTACATTTCTTCGTTCTTTGAAATTAGCTTGTTTCTCTACTATGGACAGTGAGTGCCAAACATGGACTTAAAGTTCTGTTCCTTTAGAGGTATTTTCAGTTTCAGGAATTAAAGTCTTCAACTAAGCGTCAACTGGTTATGCCTACCTGGTGGAACAGGTTTGCTCATGAATTCACACCCTGTTGGTATCACATAAGCACAGGAGCCTCTGTCCTGGAAAACTGAGCCAGTTCATTAGTATTCCCAACCAAATTCTTGGCAAGTGTCAACCTGCCCTTCCCAAGTCTCAGCTGCTACTCTGTATCTGAAATGTTTCCTCTCCACATCCAGTCCCTGCAGTGCTGGAAGGGTGCCTTGATGCACCAGTTACATCCTGTCTGAGTCTCCACATCCCTGCTGCCTTCTGGAATCTTCAGTGCCAGGCAAATTTGCCCTTCTGTGATAGATTGAGGGTCTCCTATAACCAAGTACATACCTAATTCCAAGACACCAATTCAACTTTTTATACATCGTCTTTGCAAATGAGACTGCAGAAAGAGCATAATGCCTACATAAGTGAAATGAAGTCCGTGGAACTTTTAACACAATGCAGATGGAATCAACAGGTTAAATAATGAGCTTCTGTCTGGCAGGCATGATGCATCTCTAAAATCCCTGCTTTCTACTACACTGATCCTCTCTTCATGGGTCTTTTATGATAATTTTATGCTCTATTTTTTATACTCAATTTATTGCATGGTAATTTATTTTCAGAATTATCAAAGAAACATCTTTATAGCAACAAAAATTTTAATAAAACTAGATTTTAATAATCTTGGTACTCTTCTGTTGATAATGATTTTTTTTCTTATGGTTGTTTTTGGGTCACACCTGGCAATGCTTAGGACTTAGTTCTGGCTTTGTGCTCACAGATCACTCCTGACAAACTCTGGGGACCGTACGGGGTACTAGGGATCCAAACCAGGTCGACCATGTGCCAAGCAAGTGCCTTACCCACTGTACTATCAGCCAAATTTTGTTTTTAAAGATAAGGCTCATTTTTCTTTGTGTATATGTGAGAGGGAGGGTATATTTGAGCCACACCCAGCAGTGCTCAGGGACTAGTCTTGACTCTTTGTTCATAGTGTAGTACCAGGGATTGAACCTGGGTCAACTACACTCAAGAGTAGAGTCTTAGCCCTTGTACTATTTCTCCTCCCCAAGACTTTCAGTTTTAATAACTGTAGATGAAAAATTTCACTGCACCTTATCTATGTTTTTGTGTTTCTCAAATTTCATGACGCATGTGGAGAGGAATGAACAAGTTACTTGTGGTTCCTCCTACTTTGATAGACCTATTTTTTTCTTTTTAAAAAAGTCTTCTGGCTGGAGGTACAACAATTAAGGTCTGGATGAGGGAAACTGGGGCCTTGAAAGATGTTTTTTTTAAAAAAAAAAAAAAGGCTGAAGTCTGGAGTGATAGTAGAGTGGATAGGGCATTTGCCTTACACATGGCTGACCTGGGTTCGATCCCCAGCATCCCATATGGTTCTCTGAGCACCACCAGGAGTAATTTCTGAGTGTAGAGCCAGGAGAAACCCCTGAGAATTGCTGGGTGTGACTTAAAAAGTAAAAGAAAAAGTTAAAAATTAAAAAACATGGATTGGATTTGGAGTGATAGCACAGCAGGTAGGGCATTTGTCTTGCATGCAGCCAACTCGGGTTCAATTCCCAGCATCTCATATGGTCCCGAGCACCACCAGGGGTAATTCCTGAGTGCAGAGCCAGGAGTAACCCCTGTGCTTTGCCAGGTGTGACTCAAAAAACAAGGGCCCCCCCCAAAAAAAAAGATAAAACATGGATCGAAACTTATTTTGTTTTTTTTTTTTTACATTTGCTTGTGTGAAGAGATTATAAAAAAAAATAGACCTCTGTTTTGTCATGGTTGAAGAGGACCATGACAAAAACAGACCTTTACCCATAAACAGCTATTTACACAATTCTATAGCATTCTGTATGTGGGTTCAGATGGGCACAAAAAATGAAATGCACCCTATGTGTTTAGATGAAAGGAAAAATTCCCACTAGTGAAAGTTAAGATGACTGCAGAGACTTCTTCATCTGTTTTAGTGAGATACAGACCACCCCTATCTCTATCCCCACAACTGGCTGTGGTCAGTTTTCAGTAACTTTCCAGGTCCAGGATTCCAAGAGGAAGGCTGGTTCCATGGGAACCAATGTGATTTTTTAGGGACTGGCATTTGTCGTAAAAGGAAAGATTTAGAGCTTCATTCAGAAGTAGGGACAGGAAAACCACAGTACAGAACACGTGAGTGCTGTGTATTAAATAAATACTGGTCAGTTTGTAAAGAGATAAAATCTTAGAAGCCACTTGAATAGCACTCTTGGGAACAGGTGACACCGATTTACATTTTTACCATTTTCACTGGAATGAGCAGCTTTGTAGACATCAATATTGCACAAAATTCTATGACAGGTTTGGTTTCTTCAGGGAAAGTCTCTACCCAGTCCTGCTTTACCCACAGAAGATCAGACAGATGACTTAAATCATCGTTCCTCATAGCCCAGTCTTGCTTTCAATGTCAAATGCCAGTGGCATCTAGCAACTTTGGGCAGAGACAAATATAATTCCATAGGGCAGCAGTCATGAAATTGGTCATCCTTTTCTTTTCATGACAGGCTTCGAGCCATCCCAAAGATTGCAGGGATTCAAAAGAATGGGTCTTTTGGGAAAATAAACCAGAATTGGCTCACAGGATTCAAAAGGAGCTTAAAATGCTCATTCTTTTGAGGGGAATTGTAAACTTTTCAGGGGAGCTTGCTATTCCCTTGCCAGTACAACTTCTCTTCCACTTTTTTCTTTTTCCATCGGCAGAGAAGCAGCATCTTAAAGGTCTTCCTGAAGGTTCTGTTGCAGAGGGCATAGCAAATAGGGTTGACAGTGCTGTTGACATAACATAACCAATAGCCCAAGTGCCACAGGGTCACTGGGACACACTTGTCACAGAAGGTGGAAACCAGAACCATGATGTTATAAGGGGTCCATGTGATAATGAAAGCCAGGAGGATGGCACTCAGGGTTTGGGCTGCCTTCCTCTCTTTGACAAGGACCATTCTCTTTCGTTTGGTCATTTGATGACTGAGGTTGGGGTCAAGGCCTTTCGTTGAAGGGTCCTTGGACACTGGGAAGGAGCAGGGCATGATTTTCACCTTGCGACAACCATTGTTGGTCTCTTGGGTCCCATCTGCTTTTACCACCAACCGGAATTTGTAGGCCACACATTTCTGACTCTTGGGTCTACCACCGGCAGCTGGAGACAGGAAGAATTTGGGAGTGTCATAGTCATTTTTTCCAGTGTGGCCTTTCATAAATGTTTCCTGGGCATCTTCTGGACCAAATTCTTCCTTCGGGCTTTCCTTGGCCTGATTCTTGTACACCACTTGGAAGACAGGGTCGGTGGTGGCCTTGTCCTCCTCTTCCGAGGATGCGTAGCTACTGCAGGTAGTGAGCTGCTCTGCTTTGGCCCATTCAGTGTGGGGGCCCATGGCTTGGGAGGGCTTCCCAGTGGTGGATGTGCTCCTACGTGAAGATGACCAGGAGGCTTGGTGCCTTTCCCTCTGCGCCAGTGTGGGGCGAGGGCAACGAAAGCAGGACCTGAGCAGTGCCTTGGGAGCGGGTTTTCTCTTCTCAGCTTCAGCCACAGAGTCCGAACCCTGCAGGTCCGCCAGATCCTTGGTTCGTTTTTCTGTTTCCCGGTAGATTCGGCAGTACAGGATGGTCATGACGGAAACGGGGATGTAGAAGGCAGCAATGGCAGTGCCAAAAGTGATGGTGGGCTCAGAGAGGAACTGGATCTGACACTCATCAGGAGGTACAGTTCTCTTCCCAACCAAGTACTGCCAGCAGAGGATAGCCGGGGCCCAGAGGATGAAGGAGATCAGCCAAGCCAACCCAATCATGATGCCGGCCCTCTTTGGGGTACGCTTGGCCCGGTAGGTCAGGGGTCTTGTGATGGAAAAGTAACGGTCAAAACTGATCACCAGAAGATTCATGACAGAAGCGTTACTGGCGACATAGTCCAGTGCGAGCCACAGGTCACAGGCCAGACTGCCAAGAGCCCAGCGCCCCATCAGGATGTAGGTTGTGTAGAGGTTCATGGAGAAGACCCCAATGATGAGATCTGCACAGGCTAAGCTGAGCAGGTAGTAGTTGTTCACCGTCTTCAGCTGACTGTTCACTTTGAAGGAGATCATGACTAAGACATTGCCCACGATGGTGATGAGACTGACCACGGCTGTCACGGCAGCAATGGTGATGACTTCCCACAGACCATGGCGTCCCAGAGCCTGGTGACTTACTCGGGTGCCATTGTCTGTGGTTGCATTGTGGTAAGATTCTCCTTCCATCCTGATGCAAGGGATTACATTAGAATGAAATCTTGGGTTCTGAGTTGGCCTCTCTTCTATCTCATCTCTGCTCAGACAGCATCTGGAAGAGAGGGAAGCTCGTTAGGCCCACTCACCAGCATGCAATTCTCTTCCATTTATTGCTTATCATTTTCATACAGAATGTTAATTGTGGGAACATATGTGGAGGCTAACATTTTGGCTACGTTTTCAGGATTTAGAATTTACATGTGTAATCCCCTTGCCTTTTATATTACAAAAGTTGGAGCCTTTCTTGTCTGCGAGTGCTACCCTCTTGTGGTTCCACAAGCAATTACAAAAAAAGAGGGCACTGAGGACCTTGATAAAAGAAACCTGAAGGACAGGACTATTGGGTAGTAAGAAAACAGATGACATTAAGTTACCTTAGATGCAATGGCATTAAGGGCACTATTTTTCAAGCTCCTGGTTATAAAAATATAGTCGTGACTGAGAAAAGGGCAAGTTGAATCTATGTTAGTTCAATTGTCACTGTCACTGTCCTCCTGTTATTCATCGATTTTTTTCTCAAGCTGGCCCAGTAATATCTCCATTGTGAGACTTTGTTGTTACTGTGTTTGGCATATCGTCAATTGTTGTGAGACTTTGTGAGACTTTGTTGTTACTGTGTATTGGCAATACGTCACGGGGAGCTTGCCAGGCTTTGCCGTGTGGGCGAGATACTCTCAGTAGCTTGCTGGACTCTCTGAGAGGGGCGGAGGAATCGAACTCGGGTCGGCCATGTAAACTGCGTGCAAGGCAAATGCCCTATCCACTGTGCTATCGTGACAGCACATTAGTCCAATTATTAAATATAAACTTTCATTATTAAATGTTACTGGGGCACTCTCATGAACCAGGATTGTAGTATTCAACTTCTCCCTGGCATAATGTGAAAAATCTCAGGGCATACGTGATTCCCCAACTGAAGCTGACTTCATTCTTGAGCTATGTACAAAGCACCTATTTTCACTGATCATTTTTCTGACTAGAAAGTAATACTATTATATGAGCACAAAAAATTAAAAAATGACTGACTTTTGTGACAAAGTTTTCTAATTCATTGCAGAGGTAAACAATGTAATTTGTGGGGGTGACATTTTATAATGAGTGAAAAATTTTTGTTTGTTTTTTGGGCCACCAGCCCTTGGATCTAGAGTCATTCCGGCCTTGATACACAGAGTGCTTCCAAGTGCTGCTCAGTGGACCATGGGTCATTGAAGCCAGATATCGCTCCAGCCCTGATAGCACAGAGGGTAGGACGTTTGCCTTGCATGCGGCCAACCCGGGTTTGATTCCTTCATCCCTCTCGGAGATCCCAGCAAGCTACCTCCCATCGTGCCCACATGTCAGAGTCTGGCAAACTCCCTGTGGCATATTCAATATGCCCAAAACAGTAAACAACTAGTCTCACAATGGAGACGTTACTGGTGCCTGCTTGAGCAAATCAATGAGGACAGTGCTACATTGCTATTTTTGGGCCACACATGGAGGTGCTCAGGGTTTGTTTCTGGCTCTGCACTCAAGGATACTCCTGGCCATGCTCAGGGAAACATGTGTGGTGCCAGGGGTTGGCTGCATGCAAGGTAAACACTGTGTATCTCCAGAACTAATGAATGAAAATTTTAATTGAGGTATAATGAATTGACATAAAACATTATTTAAAAATTGGATGTACATTTAATGTTTATATTCTAAATTTTCTTTTTACTTAGCATTGCTATGGGCATATTTTGTGTCAGTAAACTTTTTAAATCAAATATGTCTTATTTGATGTTTTAAATTCTATTTATTTTGGGGAGTTGAGGGCCACACCTGAGAATACTGGGTTATTCCTGAATCTGTGCTCAGGGATTGCTTCTGGCAGTACCTGGAGGACCATATGAGGTGCCAGGGGTCAAACCAGAATCAGCAACATACAAGGCAAGTGTCTTAACCCCTGTGATATATCCCTGGCCACTCTTCTCTTATTTTTCTTTTCTTTCTTTCTTTCTTTCTTTTAAACTGTGCCCTACTGCCTATAAGTTTATTTATTTAAGTTTCTGGGCCACCTTCAGTAGTGCTCAGGGGAGCGTGTGGAATACCAGGATAGAACTTGGGTTGGTGCATGCAAGGCAAATACCCTATCCATTGCACTATCTCTTTGGCCCTCTTATTTTAATGATTAGACATTATGCCATTTAATGAATATTAGTACAATTAATTTAACCACTTTCCTTATTGAGAAACTTTATTTTAGTTTTGCATGGCCTCATGCATGCAAGATATGTACTCTACCTCTTAGTTACATCTCAGCAACAAATTTTACTTTTATATATTTTTTAAAAATTTGATTGGTTCATTTTGGGGCCATATTTGGTGGTGCTCAGGGCTTACTCCAGGCTCTGAGCACCACCTGAACTCAGAAATCATTCCTGATGGGCTCAGAAGACCATGTGGGATGCAAAATAAACACCCTACCATCAATAATATTTCTCTGGTCCCCAATTTTACTTTCTAAAAATAAAAGAAGTTAGCCTGGCAAACTCCCCATGGTGTATTCGATATGCCAAAAGCAGTAACAACAAGTGTCACAATGGTGATGTTACTGGTGCACACTTGAGCAAATTGATGAACAATGGGAGGACAGTGCTGATAGTGCAGTGCAGTGCTCTCTTTTCTAGAGTAAAATAAAATTGATGTATGTGATAGAAAAAAAAAACAATGGATACAAAAGGGTAAACGGTAGGTTTCTTTCTTACCTCTGACCTTTATTTTTTGGAAGAGTTTATTTTTTTATTAGTATATATTTTTGGGGGTCACACCCAGTGATTCTCAGGAGTTACTCCTAGCTCTGCACTCAGGAATTACTCCTGGGGGTGCTTGGAGTACAGTATGGGATGCCAGGGATCGAACATAGGTTGGCCGCATGCAAGACAAATGCCCTACCCGCTGTGTTATCACTCCAGCCCTGCACTGCACTGTAGCACTGTCCTCCTGTTGTTTATCGATTTGCTTAAGTGGGCACCAATAATGTCTCATAACAAATTGTGAGACTTGTTACTGCTTTGGGCATATCGAATATGTCAAGGGGAGCTTGCCAGGCTTTGCAGTGCAGGCAAGATACTCTAGGTAGCTTGCTGGGGTCTCCAGGAGAGCAGAGGAATTGAACTCGGGTTGACCGAGTGTAAGACAAACGCCCTACCCACTGTGCTATCACTCCAGCCTCTCTGGCCCTGAAGACTTTATTTTTTATTAATTAGTTAATTAAAATTTTTCGTCTATAGTAGACTATCAGGGATCACTCCTGGCAGTGCTCAGGGGACCATATGGGATGCTGGGAATCGAACCTGGGTCAGCCGCATACAAGGCAAACGCCCGACCCACTGTGCTATTGCTCCAGACCCAGGCTGGAGCTAAAGCACAGTGGGTCGGGCGTTTGCCTTGCACGCAGCCAACATGGCCGACCCGAGTTCGATTCCTCCGCCCCTCTCGGAGAGCCCGGCAAGCTGCCGAGAGTATCTTGCTTGCACGGCAAAGCCTGGCAAGCTACCCGTGATGTATTCAATATGTCAAACACAGTAACAACAAAGTCTCACAATCGAGACATTACTGGGCCCACTCGAGCAAATTGATGAACAATGGGAGGACAGTGCCAGACAGTGCCATAGTAGACTATAGACCTAACACGATGGCCACTCAATACCTCTAATGCAAACCCCAACAGCCTAAAGGAAAGAGAGAGCAAAAGGGAATGCCCTGCCACAAAGGCGGGGCGGGGTGGAGGGATGGGGTGGGGGGTGAGAGGGCTACTGGGATCATTGGTGGTGGAGAATGGGCACTGGTGGAGGGATGGGTACTCGATCATTGTATAACTGAAACCCAAGCACGAAAGTTTGTTAAGTCTACAACTGTACCTCATGGTGTTTCACTAATAAAAAAAAAATTTGGTTTGTTTCTTGGACCGCACCCAACAGTGCTTAGGGGTTACTCCTGACTCTGCGCTCAGGAATTACTTCTGATGGTGCTCAGGGGACCCAATAGAGATCAGACCCAGGTCAGCCCAGGTCAGCTGCGTGCAAGGCAAGCTCCTTCACACATGTACTATCTCTCCAGTACCCAGAAAGATTTATTTCATTGTATGAATGATAGTGGAGTGTGAAGACTGAGTTTCAGGTCTGGTAGTCTTTCACAATCAACATTTTTGACTAACAGCTTGTGTTTTTAGAGGCTTAACTTTATTTGTGTTTCTGGGTGGTAGAGGTAAATGAAATACAACTGATTATCTGGGCATATAAGATAACTTGAATTTTGAGACTCTGCATCAAGAAGCATTTTGAGTTCTTATTTGATCAATCACGATCACGATCACAACCATCCTGTTATTCGTCGATTGCCTCGAGCAGGCCCCAGTAACATCTCCTTTGTCCTAGCCCTGAGATTTTTAAAAAAGTGCCATATTCAAGGCTCTTTCAGGTTTAGGAGAATGAGACCCATCATTTGATCAATTAAACCTTACAAATTCTTGTTCGTGTTTGCTTTTGTTTGTGGGTCACACGCAGTGGTGTTCAGGGGTCACTCCTGGTGGTGCTCAGGGATCCCTTGGGGCCAGAGGCCCTGTATCTCCTGCCAAGTGAGAGGAATATGTACTCCAGCTCTTTGTGCTAGCTCTCCGGCCTCCAATCCCTCTTCTGACTAAACTGTCAGCAGTATGTTTATTTCTTGGTGCTAATATCAACAGAGAGCAAATAATCACTCCAAATGAATTTTTAATCACTGAACAGAAAAAGAAAAATTCCCAGGATAATAGTTTCTTTGTTTCCCACCTTGCAGACTGCTGCATTTGCTTCTTTGTTGTCAATATACTACAGCACAAGTGAAACAACATATAAACGCCCCAAAAGGGAACACCATGTGTTATCTTAGCGTGGCCTGGTGACTGTTTTGGTTTCTTTTTTGTTTTTGGTTTTGGGTCATACCCAGTGATGCTCAAGGTTACTCCTGGGTCTGCACTCAGGAATTCTCCTGGAAGTGCTCAGGGGACCATACAAGATGCTAGGGA